AAGACTACTACAACTTTCTCCTGTAGAGCAGCTAACCCTAACCTTTTGGATAGCAGTCAGGTGCTTCACCACAGCATCTCAGGTCTTGGTACATAAATATGTTAATAGAATGTGCTCCTGGAGAAAGGGTCAATAAACAATAAATTTGTTCCCTTTTTTCTTTCCTGTGCTTTCAAATTTCTGCCATGATGGCGGAAGAAATAAAACTCCTCTAAACTTAAACAATAATTCAGCATGAAAGTGTCACAAAAGACACTATAATGTATATGAAGCTGTAAGGGGAGGGATATCTATTGTTTAGAGATAAGCACGTATGTTTGGTACACCAGATAAAAAAGCAATAGAATGATTCATACAAAAATCAGGAGAGCGGTTGGCTACCTCTAAGGAAAAGGGGAGAAAAGAGATTCAATCAAACAGGACCTCACAAGAGGCTTCAAAAGTACTAATAATCTTTTTGCTAACCTGGGTATTGAGTGTACAACGTCTTTAATTTATTATTGTTCTTTAAATTATAAGTTTATATTCACACTCATGCATATGAGTTCATGTTTTAAAAGATGACATAGACAAGGTTGAAGAATCAGAATTTCTGATCTGCAACTAGAAAGTGACAAGTTATTTAACTTCTCACAGTATTTTTTCTTCTATTACTGCACATGAGGAAACAAAGAGCTAACATGTTAGTATTATATTAAAGTCCCTATTTTATAGTACAAACCATACAGATAAGCAAATAAACTGAGACAATCATGTAAAATCCGATTTCATGAATGAATTACTTTTTTAATTCCCTCGCCATCAAGTCAATCCTCATGTCAATCCCATGTGTTACAGGGTGGACCTGCCTGAGAGGGTCTCCATGGTTGTAATCCTAATAGAAGCAGGTCATCAGGGCGTTCTTCCATCGAACTGTGATGTGAGTCAGGCACATTTGTGCACACCATCAAATAACACATCATAAGACTAAAAATTCTACCACCCCACTAATGATAGCAACAATCTACAATGTTTAAGCGTGTGCTATGTAAGAAAATTATTCCTGGTGGCACAACAGTTAAAGTGCTGAAGGTTAGCGTTTCAAACCTACCAGCTACTCCAGCTACTCAGAAAACAATGCAGCAGTCTGCTACTATAAAGATGAACAGCCTTGGAACCCTGTGGGGCAACTCTACCATCACTATGAGTCAGAATCAACTCAACAGTAATGCACTATATAATATACACTGTTTAACTCTTTGCATGCATTTTGTTTAACCCTCCAAACAACTTTATGAGATTAGTTTCATTATCCCCATTTTACAGATGAGACTATTTTGCCCAAGGCTGCCCAGGTAGTACGAAGACTACCTTAATTTTTTTATTTTTTGAAGACTAACTTTAAAGCCACACTCTTAACCAATATATATTCTTGCCTCACTTCTCACACTACACAGTCACCCACTGTCTAAAGTCCACAATATGAACTGTGGAATAAGAAATTAGGTGATTTTGATTTTTGTGTGAATACCATGTTACAGCCAGGCATGCCCTGGATTACAAACAAATTTACAAATTCCATTACTAAATCTGTCTATAAATTGAATTTATATGCAAATCTAAACAATTTAAGTACAGTTGGTATCTAATGTCAGGTAGTCAATTGTTTCTTTTAGAATACAATTATCTTTCCATGCATAATAATCATGAAATACTTTCAGATACCCTAGAACATCCCTAACATAGTAACAACTAAAAATGCTTTGATGCATGTTCCAAAGCAGCACTCATTTGCTAGACTGTTATTAAAAACCTTTGCATGTGTCACAAGTTCTTAATATAATAGGCTTTACAGGGGTTGGGGCCATCTATGCTGTTAGAAGTTGCTCCAACTGCCTTTATGCAGATCATGACTATATTTAAATTGTCTATCTCTTTCACAATTCTGGAAGCAGGTTTTTGTTCACTTTCATTCCCCTGGCACTTAGCAAGCATTAAGTAAATCGTGAACAAATATTTCATATCAACGTTCCTGGGGCATAAACTGCTTTTATAGGCATGAGCACATTTGTTCCTTTTGACAGCTGTGTGAAGTATGCGAAGTTTTTCATGACTTCACACCTTCAATCACTTCCCTCTCTACCTCTAACCCAATCTAGCTATTAAAGTGGTGGAACTGGGATATGAACCCAGGACTCTTGACTCTTGTCTTTGGTATTCATTCCTCCAAGTTGCCTATCGAACAAAAACCTTTTCCTGCTTTCTCCTTAGCACCAGACTATATGGAGGTTCAAGTGAAATAAAGCTACTAAAACACTTTATACACATTTCTACTATTTAACCGCCAAAACATTTCTCTCATGCAATTACTTTTCAGTTTAGCTTTCAAAAGCTAAGGTTATAATATAAATATCTCACCTCTAGATCAAGCCTATAGGTCCGCCTAAGGAATGTCCGGACCCCGGGTTAAATTATAAGAAATGCTTGCAGTAGTTAGGTTACACTCTCACTGAATTATAGGTAACTGTTCAAACTTGATTTGTACTGTAATACAGAAAGCTTATTCATAACAAAACTTTCAATTACAAGGTTAAGTTCAACCTTCCATCATTCTGCCCATGTAGGAACTAACATCAAAAAATATTCTGAATAATGTATATTTTTATGTACTAAAACTGTGAAAGCTCAGGAAAATGGTGTGTGCTAGCAGAAGTCTGAAGCTTGAACAAAAACAAAATTATTTTTATCCCATTGATACCAACTTTATCTTCTTGATACATACGTCTCCTCATTTTCCAGTCTGAACTCCAATCAACAGTCAATTAATGTTCAATATACCATAGTTAATGCAGCACATCCAGAAACCTGTTTTTGTAAAGATGGTTCCTCCATTCACACCCCTCTCTACCTTCCCTCATCACCATTCTGATAGGAGAATGAACATATCACTAGGTTTTAAATCAAAATTTTGATGAATATGTTATTTCTGTGGTTAATGCAATATGCCACATCAATACCACCCCCTTAAAAAACAAGATAAAAATGACTCAATATGCCTATTTATTTACATCTGACGGATTTCTGATCACCTGAAATCCTTTAGGAAAAAATTCAATCTATAGGAAAACAGCCCAATTATTTTAAATCTTATCAAGCAATGTCAAAAGAAAATCAAATGAAAAACTCCATCAGTACCAAGACATCTCAGCAATGAATATTTATGACATTTCCATATTTCCTGTCTTCACTCTGTTTACATAAAGCAGTGGTGCCAAGACTCATCTCAAGATTATTAGCCTGCAATACAATGATGGGCCTAATTGCCTTGCAAACCAGGACACCAATAAATGGAGTCTTCAAGCAATCCATTTTAATGGGGTGGGGTGGGAACCTAAGCACTTTCTACATATATGCATGTCGTCTGACTAGGAAATAAATGTAGCCTCATATTTTTCAGTCTTGTTCATCAGTGCTCAAGTAAGGAATGCTCCTTAACAACCTCAATCTCATCAAATCTATTTAAATTCCAAACTCCAGAATTATTTGTTAAGTGTACCAGGGAAAGGCAAAGACAGAAACATCAATCTATCACATTTCATCTCTTCCTTGGGAATGGGACCTTACCTTCCTTGATTCTACCCTACCTGAAATCTTTATTAACTTGATTCTCTAGGTTGAATTTACTTCTAAATATGTTACTGATAGAAATGAAACAAAAAGATCAATTTAGTATCTTAAGGCAGTCTTTAACACAGCTTTTCTGTCTCATGCAAAGTACTCTCTAACAACCCTGATTGTAGTCTTTCCCCCAACCACAGCCACCAGAGCTGTCCATATAAAGTGTTCCAAGCCCTAACCCTATTGTATCTCTAGGCCACCCCAATTTCCCCTCCCCCGCAGGACTGATATCCCTTATGCTCTCTGCAACTCCAGGTCTCCCCCTCCTCAAATTTCTCCTCTGCTACTTCATGATCATTAGCCACTTCACCAGTCTTAACAGTTTGTCTGATAGTCCTTCTCCCAAACTCCCTGTCACCGTGGTCAAGGGGCATTTTCATCAACAGACCATGACCTAACCCTGCTCACCACCTAACACTGTTCTTCTATGCCCTCTGCCGCGACCCTGCACCCAGAGAACCATCATGCCTCTTCCAGGGGTTCTAAAATCCCCCTAACTTCCATTTCACTGCACTCCCTCCTCCCACTTTCAAGCCTTAAGTGCCCATTTTGGGCCTTACTCCAATCGCCCCTCCATCCTGCCTGCTCACCATCATGCCCCCACTCATTCAAAGTCCTAGCCCCTATGTCCACCTCAATCGGGTCTCTGCTCCATTCCAACCCCTTCTATTCTATAAGGTTCCATGAATTCCACATACCGCCCCCCCCCCCGCCTCGCCCGACCCCCCCCTTGACAAAACCCTACTGAAAGCCCCTCATTCTCAGCTCCTATCACCTCCATCTGCCCGTCCTGGGTCCACCCCAAATTCCACCCTCCAGAATTAACACCCCACCCCCAGGGTCCAATGCTAGTCAGTACAACCCACTCTTCATTGAAAGCATCCCCCTACCTCCCACCCCAGCTCAAATCCCAAGCTGTCAACTGCTCCTGGCCAACCCCAAATCCACCACCCTCATTCAGTCCCCTCCCCCATTAAAAACCAACCCACTCCAGCCTTATCTTCCATCTCGCCCCAACACCAACCCAAATTCCACCTCGCACCCCCACCCCCCTAATTCCACACTCCTATCCCAGCCCTGGTCATTCGCCATTAAAAGTCTCCCTCCCTTGTCGCCCCCCAACCTGCCTGGGTCCCACCCTCACTCACCCCACCCCCAGCCCGCGCCAGCACAAGTCTTCCCCGCCAGCCCGCCGTTCCATCGCAACCTTAGCCCCCTCCCCCAAACCCACCCAGGGGCCGTGCTGCCCCCACTCTCATTCTCTCCAGTACCACCAGCCCAGGCTCAGGACGAACGGGCCAGGTTTTTTTTTTTGGGGGGGAAGGGGGGGGAGGGGTTCTCACCGGCGAGCGACTGCAGGCAAAAAGCAGCGACGGCTGAGGCGGCGATGCCCTTGTCTGTTCTGGCGGCTGCAGCGGCGACGCTCTGGCTCCCTCACCGGTGTCCGTAGGGTGGCGGATGGCGCGCAGGGACTGAGAGCCTCCTCCTCTTCAGCTACTCGGCTCTGGATCCTCTGCAGTAGCCGCCGAGGAGACCGACGGGTTGGGGGAGGGGACGCTCGGCTGCGGGTGGAGGAGGAGGAGGCAGAGTGGGGGGGCCGGGGGACCGCTGAGAAGGGCGGGGAAGGAGGAGCCGAACGCAGCGCTTCGACACGTCCCACCGCTTCAGTGCGCCGGGACCACAACTCCCGGCATGCTCTGCTCCGCCCCGCGGGCGGCCTATGTCTCTGGCCCCGCGCGCGCGCCGAGTGCGAAGGCGTCCCGCCTTTCCTCGTCTGGGACAATGGAATAAAGCCAACCATCCACGGGCGGCTATTGTACACTCAAAGACTACGTATGAGGGATATCAGGGCGTCCCGCCGCCCCGTTTCCAAATGCAAGGCTGGCAGCAGCTCCACCCGTCTTCAAAATAAACACACACATACACACTCATTTTATTCCCCCCTCACAGCTTCCCATCGGACTACATTTCCCAGAATTCCTTGCATGCTCCCGCCCACTCGCTATAGCCTTCTCAGACCCGGTACTACTACGGTTACCCAGCAGTGTGGTCCCTAAGAGTGCCTGGGAGATGCAGTTCTTGGCTCTTCCTCCATGTTAAGAAGAATAAGTGAAAGAGGAAAAAGGTAGGAAGGGCCTAAATGGGCTGAAGCACCTTAGAGTCTGTACATCTCTCTTTTGCTTCGATCTCACACCAGGATTAAAGTAACAGCTTCATCATCTCCCAGTAAATATGAGGAAGATCTGGCAATTTGAATACCAAAGTAAGGTGTGCATATTTCTTGGCCCAGCCCCCATTACTTGTAAGAATTAACCTTAAAAGGGTAATCAAACCACTAAATGGTTTAAAGTGATAGATGTTATGTATGTTTTACCACATACACACACACACACATAATTTGTAAAAGATGAGTATACAGAGTTCCTATATGAGGTTGTTGATTATAGAGGGGAGGAATTTAAATGCCAACCAATAGGGAGCTGTTTAAATCAGTTATTATATATACATACAATGCAGTAGTAAGCAGCCATTAAAATTATTATATAGATCTATTTATTGACATGTAAAGCTATTCACAGTTTATCCTCCAGGGAAACAATGATTACACAGCAGCTTGTTTAGAATGGCCCAGTTTATGTGAGTTTGACATAATAGTCTATAAGCATAGAGAAATTTCAGGAAAGAGGTTCTCCAGGATGTCAAATTTCAAATAATTTCATTTTTCATATTGTCTGATTTATTTAAAAGGAGTACATACCATATTTTTAAAGCTCAAAATTATATTCAAAATATATATCATTTCCAAATCCAACAATTTCTCTTTGCTGCCTAAAAGTTTTACCTGGTTCCATGGTGCCATTAGCAGTGCTCAGGACTATGTTCATTTGTTTGTTTGTTTGTTTTCTGTGAGCTCCATAAATTCATGATTAAAACCCTAATTCACAAAAGAACATTAAGTTAGGAGAGAAATTTTTGTCAATTTCCGATGCCTTTTTTAAAAATACCTTTCTATCAACTGTGTATCCATCTCCCCTAGAATAGCTTATCAGATTATCTGATTCAACACACATCATATAGTTTGTTTCAGACTTTTTTTTTTTTTAATATGTCATCAATTTGACTTGCAAGGAACCCAAGAGCTCCACTGCCCAGCCCACTGGAGAATTGCAGGCCTACAGGAGAAAGGTACAGAATACCTGGCTAAGAGGTAGCAATTAGTTGACAAACCTACTATGGCCTATTTCTCCAGCTTCACCCCACATCGTTCTCTTTTCTGAGAATAGTGAGAAAAATCCCTATGATGTGTTCATTATGACAGGCAAGCCCCTTCCTCTCTTTAAATATTGCATTCTAAAACCTACCTTCTTTCCCCCATTTCATTTAGTGGCAGCAAATGGGTAGCTGAGTTCTCTCTCCAGGGAATAAAACATCGATAGATATGAAGAAGCTTAGTGGACTAGGAAGAGCCCTGGTGCCATAAATGGTTAAACCCTCAACTACTAACCAAGATTGGTGATTCATATTCCCTCATGGGCTCTCTGAGAGACACAGCAATCTGCTTCTGTAAACATTATAGCCCAGAAAAACCTAGAGTTGTACTTTGTCACGTGGAATGTTATGAGTTGGAATTGAATCAATGGTATCCAATAACTACAATGGACTAGAAATCTTACAATCAGAGCCCCCACCAAACTGCCTTGAGTGGGTGTCCTTAACTGTTCTGAATCTTAGGGCCTACCACCGTAAAATGGAAAAAATGATGACGGCTACAGGGGCAGTGAATTTTTTAATGTGGTTCTTCTTAGTCAAAGTCTCTTACTCCCAACTTGTGACCTTTCCCTGCATGGGCCTGTTAAGAAGGTGGGGGGAAATACGGATAGGATTCACCTGTGAGTAATTGCAAACAAGATTACCTGGAGTGCCATCCTGCTGTCAATAAAATGAGCCCTCTGAGAAGCAAAAGGAGGGATCTCATTACCAGCAAGAGGCAGGAGTGGAGTGTGCCCTTTGGACCTGTGATTCCTGCGAAGTGAACTTCCTGGGTCCAGATGATAGCAGCACCATCAGAGGAGCAGCAGCAGAACCAGGAGCCAGAGCGTGGAACAGAGTGATGGACTTCCCCACCCACAGAGCAAGGTGAGCTGAGTGCTTCCGTGCAGGAGTGCCTCTGAGCATTTAGGGAAGCTGGGCGTGCTAGCCCACAAAAACTGGAGCTGACGGCCTTTTGGCTGAGGATTACTGGAGTGGAGTGCCTCTGGAAACTTAATTCAGGAGCTGAACGCCTTCGAGTTGAGGTTTACAGCTGAGTAGTATGTGCCAATGGGCATTTATTAGCACACCTGAAAGATCTTCATAACATGTCCTTATAACTCAACCCTGAGCATTTCTTTTCTTTTCTTTTTAATCACTTTACTGGGGGCTCGTACAACTCTTATGACAATCCATACATACATCCATTGCATGTGAAGTACGTACATTTGTTGCCATCATCATTCTCAAAACATTTGCTTTCTACTTAAGCCCTAGGTATCAACTCCTCATTTTCCCCTGCCCTCCCTGCTCCCCCTTCCTCATGAAGCATTGATAATTTATAAATTATTATTATTTTGTCTTACCTTACACTGTCCAAAGTCTCCCTTCACCCACTTTCCTGTTGTCCGTCCCTCATGGAGGAGGTTATATGTAGATCCTTGTGATCGGTTCCCCCTTTCTACCCCACCTTCCCTCCACCCTCTGGTATCACCACTCTCACCACTGGTCCTGAAAGGTTCATCTGTCCTGGATTCCCTGTGTTTCCAGCTCCTATCAGTACCAGTGTACATCCTCTGGTCTAGCTGGATTTGTAAGGTAGAATTGGGATCCTGATAGTGGGTGGGGAGAAAGCATTTAGGAACTAGAGGAAAGTTGTATGTTTCATCATTGCTACAACGCACCCTGACTGGCTCGCCTCCTCCCCTCGACCCTTCTGTAAGGTGATGTCCAGTTGCCTACAGATGGGCTTTGGGTCCCCAATCCGCACTCACTCTCATTTACAATGATATGATTTTTTGTTCTTTGATGCCTGATACCTGATCCCTTCAACACCTCATGGTCACACAGGCTGATGTGCTTCTTCCATGTGGGCTTTGTTGCTTCTGAGATAGATGGCTGCTTGTTTACCTTCAAGCCTTTAAGACTCCAGACGCTATACCTTTTAATAGCCAGGCACCATCAGCTTTCTTCACCACATTTGCTTATGTACACATTTGTCTTTAGCAATTGTATCAGGAAGGTGGGCACACAATGATAGGATTTTTTGTTCTTCCATGCCTGATACCTGATCCCTTTGACACCTTGTGATCACACAGCTGATGTGCTTCTTCCATGTGGGTTTTGTTGCTTCTGAGCTAGATGGCAACCTCGAGCATTTCTTACTTGCATTACAACTTGTTAACTTCCTTAATAAACCCTTTAATCATAAATTTGTCTGTGAATTCCATGTAGCATTGCAATTTTTATTAGAACCCAGACAGGTAAAAATAGAGAACACTAATAAAGACAACATAGCAGTACCCCAGCTGTGTGTACCCTAGATACTCTAAGAGTGCCTTGCATTAGCGACTCATTCGAGCCAGACGTGACGATCCTCTTACGCAGGATTCAGCTAACCTTCCAGTGGCAAGACTGAAAGGAAACCCTATGTCCATAACCTCACTAGAGAATATGGGCCACTGAGTTCACGAGAGTAGAGATGCTTGGACAGTGTTTCTTATCCATTCACTTATCTTTACTAACAACAAAAAACAGTTTCTGACATTGCCCTGTTAATTATCAAACACTCTTACAGCTCAAAATAATAAAGAGAAAATGAGTGGGGCTTTGTGATAAGGTTCTTTTAAATATAATCCACCATATCCTGATTAGAATACTTTGTTGCTTTGTATAACTTAGCAAGATTGTGTTTTGTTTTTAGTGATTTTCTGTATATGAAATTCAGGACAGGTAGATCTATAAAGACAGTAACTGGATAAAGGCATGACAGAGGAGAATGGGGGGAAATAGAGAGCTAACACTGAGTATGGAAAGAAAATGTTGTGCTATCAATTGTGGTGATGATTATACACATCTTCTTAATATGATGAAATGATTAAATTGTATGATATGTGAAATATATACCAATAAAACTTTTCCTTAAGACTCTGAAACCCACAGGGGCATCCTACGCTGCACCATAGGATCTGATGTGTCCGAATTGATGTTGATGCATTTGAAGTGTGGTGCTGGCAAAGACTGTTGAAAGCACCATGGACTGCTATAACAACAAACAAATCTCTTTGAAGAAGTCCACCCAGAATGCTCCATAGAGGCTAGGATGGCGAGACTTCATCCCGTGTCCTTTGGACACGTTATCAAGAGAGACTACTCCCTGGAAAGGGACATCTTGATTGATCACGCAGAGAGGCAGCGCAAAAGAAGACCTTGGACAAGATGGATTAACCCAGGGCCCGCAACAATGGGCTCGGAGAGAACAATTGTGAGGCTGGGAGCAGGGCCAGGCAGGGTTTCGTTCTGTTCTACATCCGGTCACTA